CCTACTTGCCTTCAGACAATAAATTGGATCATTAAATATGTGGGGGGCACACCTGGCAAAAAAGACTCTGAAAAGATAAGCCTCACCAGTGCCTTGAGTGCTTAGGACATTTATATTTGAAGAGACTTGCCTAGTCGGCTGTTGAGAGACTGAAGAAGGAAAAAGGAACATTGGCTTTTTGAATTTTGAGCTAGTGGGGTTTGTGCCTGAAGCTGAAAAAATGTAGAGCCATGCAGGTACTCTTCTTTCTATGACTGAACGTTAAAGGGAGCCTGCACGCAGCCTGAAATGCCTGCTAGGTGACCACCTGGATCCACTTGTTCAGTGGAAGTGGGAGAAAGGCGGCAATGAAGAGACTGGGGCTGAGTCTGGCCACTGATACCTGTGGACCTGGTTCACAGGGACTGGAGGAGAAGATGAGAGCAAGTCTGCTGGTCTCAAGTTCATGACCTAGCCCAAGGTGGGTAAGGTTGCTGAGAATTTGTGACTGGGCTCATGGTCAAAAGGCGAGGTGGCCAATGGGTACCCTGATAAAGCTAAGTGTGGAGGCACACACTGAGTTGACCAGAACCTGACCAGATGAAGATATTTGAGCCTGTGGATTGATGCACATTGCTGCTGAATTAATGGATGGCCTGTTCTGATTTGACTTTGCTTATGGATGCGGACTCACAAGGTTCCAACTGGAATGAAGATTCTTCACATCAAAGAACATGCTTGTCTCCTCAGAGTACTGGGTTGATGTAAGTGGGCAGTATAGAAAGTGGATACCCAAAACTGGGAAGATAAAAGCATGAAGTGGCTGGCTTACAAATATTCATATGTTGGGAAATATATTCATAGATTTATAGGATTATGGTATAAGTGTTCATTTAACTGCAATTGTTAGGAGTAGAATATTTTTGTTTTGTGGAGGGAGGGTGGGGAGGAAAGGGGGAACCGATTACAAAGATCTACATATAACCCCCTCCCTGGGGGATGGACAACAGAAAAGTGGGTGAAGGCAGATGTCGGACAGTGTAAGATATGACAAAACAATAATAATTTATAAATTATCAAGGGTTCATGAAGGAGGAGGGAGAGGGGAGGGAGGGGGAAAATGAGGAGCTGATACCAAGGGCTCAAGCAGAAAGCAAATGTTTTGAGAATGATGATGGCAACAAATGTACAAATGTGC